AATATTTTTGAGAACATTAAATTAAATAATTGTGTTCTCATGAGAACATAAATTTGAAAACAGATTTCCAACACTGGTTGCAGGTATCGTGAAATATTGCCTTGCAAGCTTGTTAAGAACAGGAAAAAAGGTTTTTTGTGAATTCTACCAGTTAAAGGGTTGGATTTATAATAGATTTCGAGTAAAGAAAGGTAATTATCAAGCTCATCATTTAACTCTTCAGAAGTATCTTGTATAAAAACTGTCCTAAAAAATGATTTTTGATAAATTTGACGTTGCTCTTCTTGTTTGTCTTGATCTTCACGAGGGCTAAAAGATTTATCAGATAATGTTGAGACTTTATGAAGAGATTTAATCTCATTATATTTATTGCGAAAGGTAGTCTCAGCTTGGTGTCTCTGAGTTGGTACTGCAAACTTCAATTTTTTATATCTTGGATCAAGGAAGCAAACAAGAAACGTATCACTATCAGATAAGTCTCAATAATATAAAAGTGTACTGTATAGTACGTTTTTAATCTTATGCTTCATATTTTTAGTATTTGTAGATGTATTTATATTAATTTTTCTTTTTTTAGAGCCTTTATATTTCTCTTCCTTTGCATCAATGAATCCAATGTTATTATCGAATGCTAGGTCATCTGTTTCAAAATTTACTTCACTTAATTTATCATCAGTATAACTTTCAGAAGTAGTTAGACTTCTCATTAACCCTCAAATAGACAGAAGTATATAAGAAATTATAATATATTCAGAACTATTAAGCTCTTCTGTAGTTTTAAAGAACAGTCCTAAGATATTAACAAGATCTCTTATTAAATCTCATTCATCATCTGTTAATTGAATTTCTTTTAATCTCTTTGCATCTTTTCGGTCTTCTGGTGTGTTTGAGACAGTCAATGTTGTTACAACAATATCGATTGCATCCTTAATTAGTAAAAAGCGTTCCCAAGCTAAAAAAGATGAATTCTAACGAGTTAGTATATCCATTTTTACATGAAGGTATGTAGAAGTTTTTTTAACTACCTATTAAGAAAAAAAAAAAAATAATAATAATAATAATTTAGTTATTTTATATTTATACAAAGAATTAACAAATTATATTACATTATTATCTGAAACTTTTAATGTTTTTTGAGCTTCTTTGAGTCGTTCATTTTGCTTCAGGGCCATAAAGAAATTAATTAGTCATTTAGCCCTTACTACAAATGTTTCAGCTGGTATTAGGCCTTTTCTGACAACAAGTTGTATAGTATGAGCTATACACAGAATTCTCATAACATTAGCTATTCTATTAATTGCTGCCTTCATATTTGATCCATTATCAGTTGTGATTGAATGTATTTTTTCTGTAAGACTCCAATCAGCAATTATACTTTCTAACTTTTCTTGAATAATATTAGCAGTATGTGGATATCTAATATAGGATAAGAAAAGCAGTATTTCATAGATTTTGAATTCAGAATCAATTCATGAACAGGTGATGCCAAGATACTCTTGCCTGTTGTGACCCGTTCACAGGTCTGTGGTAAGTGAGCAAGTTGTGGCAGTATTTTGTAATCTTTTCTACATATTTTAGGCACACTTATCATATATTTTATGAATTGTTTCCTTTACACTTTTTTCGTTTGGCATATTAAACATTGGATCTAATTCCTTTATGAAC